GATAAAAAACTTAACATTATCTTCACATTCGGATAACCATTCACATTTAGCCCTCCGCTTTAACCATTAATAATTATAAGAAAGAGCATTGCCAAGTTTATCTTGGTTGAGAGAGGTTTGGCTAAGTAAATTTTTACAAAGAGGATTGAAGTTCAAATTGTTCATAGTAAATTTCTGTTCATATTTTAACTCAATAATATAATTATAACTATAGTTAGAGTTCCATTTTCAATACTTTAAAGCTTCTTTAACATTCTTCAACTTATTGTAAAAGGAAAATAAATGATCACCTTGAGCATTATTATTCCAAGTATCATGAACATGATTAAAAAAACCAAAATAACTATTCCAATAATTCTTTTTTAAAATCTATGCTTCAAAGTATAAGAAGACCTTAAAGAAATAGAAATAGGCGAATGATCAGAAGTGGAAAAATTCAAAACTCTGAAATAGGAATAAGGAAAAGAATCGACCCAATCAACATCATAAAAAGTCCTATCAAGGAGACATCTAATAGAATTAACAATTTGATTATCATATCAAGTAAACTTATGACCAATATTATGAAACTAAAAAATATTTGAATTAAGAATGCAATTATTAAAATTAGTTAGCTTAGCATGGGTGGATGGCCACCAATTTTTCACTAACTCTAAGAATATAATTAAAGTCACCCAACAAAAGCCAATGATTATTAATATTAGCATCAAGATGAACAATATAATTCCAAAGATCCTTTCTAATAGTAGCGCTATTATCTACATATATTAAAGTTATAAAAAAATTAACATTAGAAGAGAACGTAATGTGCCTATGAATATACTGAGATTTGATATCTAAAGCAGTAAAAGAAAAAAAATGCTAGCACTCAAATACGCCCATTTTCAACACTATCAAAGTTATGCACATTTCTTTCATTATTAAATAGTCTAAACTTATTGACAGAGAAACTATCAAAAATAGAAGAAAGAGAAAGTATAGTTCTAAAAAAGATCAATCATATTAGCATGATTCTCATATAACCTTTTTGCAATCCGCAACATTGGTTTCATTACTAAACTCATGAACATTCCAAGCAAGAATATTAGAATAAAACGTAAGAGAAATTGAAAAGTGAATAAACACAGAGGACTAACGGATAACATTCCCTACTATAGTTTTTTCTTTTTTTGCCCTAGAGGTAGAGGGCACAGGGATGGAAATAGCATTAAACATATCAATAATAATAAGACTTGTCAAAACAGTGGGATTATCTCTGACAATAGCATTATGAGTAATGATATTTCTATCACCAGCCTCAATATGAACATATTCAAAAACAGGAGGTAGAGCTAAGCAATTAACATTTTACAAATTTTTATTGTTCATACTTTCATGATTCAACACATTACCATCATGAGAATTACCATTCATATCAATATTAATATTAGGAACAACATTAGAATCAATGTGATGAACTTCAATATTTTCTTCAGCAATTTCAGCACTGCTGGAAGACATATCAGTAGGAATGTTTAAATCAGGAGTAGAGGAAATATAAGTAGTAGAAACCCTAATAGGAATGGGAAGTCTACTGTTGCTCTGCTGAAATCTTTGATTAGTGTCATTCATAAACTACTGACTAATTAAACTCATGCCCTTTATTGTCAAGAAGAATGAAATCAGGAAGAAGAGAGTCAATTTTTATCTGTATATTGACTATGGTAAAAGAAAGTCGGGAAAACTTGGAAATTAAAGAATCAACTTCGAAAAGAATGCTGATTTCACTTAGCAATCATTGAAATACCAGACTCATTTCAAAAATACAAAGATCGATTTAGAAATTTAATCCAAGTAGGTATATCTGTAAAATCTTCTTTAAAGAACTTAAAATCGTGTGACCTTTTTAAAAAAATGAATGGTTTACCATTGATAAACCAAGGACCACAAGCCAACACCATATAAAAATCTTCAACACAATTGAAATTAAATAGGAACAAACCTTCAGAAAGATATAGAAGATTTACAATACCTTTCAGTTTTCATAATCTACTAATAGCTTGTTGCAAGTTACCATAGAAAGGACGTTTGCAAATTGCATACCCAACTCCGTTGCTTTGATCCATGAATAACCTTTTGATCAGAGAAAGAAACCTTATATGTTGAACTTGGATTGTAAGACAAACAAAAATTAGAAGAACTTGTAAGATTAGAAGTGATAGGACTCTTCCAATTAGGACTAGGACCTAGAAGAGATTGAGAAGATGATGGGATAAGAGGAGGAAAATGATCCATGAGAGGAAAATAAGGGCAAAAGCCCCAAAGCACAAAAGAAAGATCAATGGAGAAAGAAATAAGAGAAAGGAGGATCATTTTCCCAAGAGAAAGGGAAAATAAGAAGGCCTCCATAAACCCTAGAGGAGGGAAAATATTTTCTTACATAAGACGTACGCAGCGCTGCTTATGTCAGGGGTTATTCAAGGGGTACATGGGGGTTATATCCGGGTTATACCATCCTGTAACCTCCGTGTAATTTATTTGTACCCATGAAATTACAGAAACGCAAAACTCATTTGTAGGTTATAGGTAGTTTACAAAGAAGTTACAGGGGGTTACAGAGAGGTATAACCCCGATATAACCCCACTGTACCGCCTGAATAACCCCTGGACTCGAGCAGCGCTGCGTTTGTACGCAAATATTTTCCCTAGAGGAGGAAGAAAAATCACATCAGGAGCGCCGCTTTGCATCTCTTAAAAATAACTCTAGGGACTGTTATTCCCTTAAACATATTCCTAGCAGTTGCAACGGGAGTAATCTAAAGTGCGGATTACCTAAGTTTGTCCGTTGGAGGCGGGCTCTATGGATACAGTTATGCCATTTTTAAAATCTAAATACCTCATTAATATATATATTAAAATTTTATGTATTGAAAAAATAAATTTTTTATTTCGAGACAGTCGCCCGTATTTCTGGGTACAGCATGTCACCGGCATGGAGTCGGGACAGTGGGCCTTTTTTTTTCCTTTAAACGTTTGCTGGATTTTTTTTTTTGTTCTTTCTTTCTCAGCACACTTCATTTATCTTCATTCCTTTTTTTTAATTATTTTTATCACCTGCTTAGCTTTTCTTTGGAAGATTTACATTCATCAAAGTATTTACATATCTAACCTCTAAACTTAAAATTTTACATATAGGCCATCTTCTAATTTTTGCATGATAAACTGTAATTTACTTTTTAAAATTTAAAATAATGATAAGTTTTATATGAATATGAAAAATTTTGTTGTACAAATGTAAAAAATATAATTTCGGTGTTAAATATATAAATACATAGTAATTGTTAAAATTTAAATGCCCCCCCCCCCCCTTTTTTTTTTAAATCGAGTTCAGGCGAAGAGCTATTTTTCTTAAGTGAAAATTATTATATTTATTTAGATTTTATATTCACTAATAACTAATAGCTTCTCTTTAATTATAGTTATTTGCTCAATATAAAATAATTTAATCAATAAGTTAAATTAAATGAATTTATCATAATCAAATTGATTATTCACTTCATTTTTAAATATAATTACATAAAATTTTTTTATTATCATTTTTAAACTCATCGTCAGTTAAATTAAATTAGATTAATAAAAAAAATTCTTTCACAAAAAAAAAAAAAGGAAGTCGGCCGAGGAAAAGCAAATTAAAAAAAGCATCAACCAAACGCTTAAAGGAAAAAAAAGAGTAAAACAACTGCTGCCCAAGTCGGCATGCAGTCGCCGATTCTTCCAGTGACCGTGCCGATACATAAATTTTCCTTTCTGAATTCCGATAATTTTAATAAATATTAATGGAGTATTTAGTTTTGAAATTTGTCCTTTGTGTCTTGATTATTTTTAATTGGATTAGGTCAAACTCAAATTTCCTTTTTCGGCATGGAATGATATCTCCTATATGAGGTTTTGGTAAGTCAACCTCGCTTATTGCTGTGGTATTCAAGAAGGCTGACACCGTTTTTGCGAAAAGAGTTGATATGTTATATGCATTGCTTATCTCCTTTCTCAATATTTTTTTGTGCAAGCTTCATTTTAATTCTTGTGTTTAGAATTGATTTGTTATGAAGTCCCCCTGATATTTAAATTATTTGATTTTTTCCCTGCCATTTCAATCTCTCACGGTAACCAGACTTGCCCTAATAAAACACACGTTTGGATCTTTCAATTACTTTGAAAACTTGTTGTAGGCTCTTTTATTATTTATGTTGTTAATGTGACATCTGCAGTTGTTCATGGCTTCTTTGAAAAAGCATTAGGTTCTTGCTGTCACACTGTTGATCACAGCCCATTTATTCCTTGTTAACCTTTATAGAACATATGAAAATTCCTTTTAGTTATGATAATGTAGGCGTTATTTCTGGCATATGGGTTTCTGTCTTCCCAGCTTCATTAAGGACAGTTTGTTTTGCATAGTTATATGGATTGGAATTGACTTCTAAGAGACAGTTTAGGGTACATTTATTTAGTTAGCATGAACACTTTTTTGAAAACTCAATTTTAGTATTTATTCAGATTGCAATTAATTTCATTTTCATCCATTACTCCATTAGTTCTATATTATTTTATTATGTTAATGAATGAAATAATATTTTCATGCAACCTCCTTTCATGTTCATGTTACTATTATTTTTCTATATAAAAACTAAAATATGTAGGTGATTTCAGAGCCTTCATTGGGGCAATTCACTTCTCACCTTCATGAATCTTAGTTCTAAAAATAGGAAGTCACTTCTGCTTTCTGCCAAACAAACATTAAAACTGGTGTTTGGAACTCAATTCCAATCACTTTTGGCACTTGCGCCATAAGGAACTAACCCTTACAGAAAAAAGTTGTTAGTGAGATGTTGATCAAAGTCGTGCTTCAATATTGCCAATTGACTTGAATTGCACATATTATGTTCTCATATTTTGGTCATTTTAAATGTAACCATATATAGCTGAATAAACAATTCTAAGCACTTTCTGGTCTGCATTAAAAGGGAACTGTGAGGCTACTTTTTCAACCTGCCGAAGAGGGTGGTGCAGGTGCTTTTCACATGATCAAGGAGGGTGCTCTGGATGGAGTGGATGCAATATTTGGTATGCATGTTGACTATAAATTACCTACGGGCAGTATCTCATCACACCCAGGACCGACACAAGCTGCTGTAAGCTTTTTTGAAGCTAGAATTCAGGGAAATGGTGGTGATGGAGGCACTCCTCATCTTAATAGTGATCCTATTTTTGCTACAGCATTTGTTATCCTCGCATTGCAGCAGCTCATTTCTAGAGAAGATGACCCTCTTCATAGCCTGGTATGTTACTTTGTTGAAAAACTTGTGCCTTTTTTTTTTTCTTCCAAGCATCTAGTTAATAGTTACTTTGATTGAGTTGATTCTTGTGACATTTGATTTTTGACTTTTAAAATGTAAATAGTGCTATTGTTTAATATGGATTTCTAAGTTAATTACTATAAATTCTGCTTTTAGTGACCTTTATATTAGATTAGATACCATGGAGGTTGAAAAATATATGTATAAACTAGCCAATTAAAGAGGAAAGAAAGTAAAGATTTAACTCAAGTCAAGTATATTAAAGATGAAATCAAGAAGTGATTTTCTTAGAAAAAAGATATTCAACATAGGTGGGAGAGTTATTATGATAAACTTTTTAATGAGTTTCTGAAAATACGATAGACCTTAGTTTTCTTATTATCTTTAATAATTATAAAATATTTCATTTTTTCAGTTGCATTACTAAAAAAAAAGTTGTGATTTTAAAGAAAACAAATATTGGAAAGTCTGTAGGACCTGATGATATCCCAATTGAAGTGTGGAAATATATGGGAGATTTAAGAGCTTATTGGATTACTAAACTTTTTAATATTCTTTTAAAGACTAAAAAGATGCCCGAGGAGTGGAGGAAGAGTATTTTGCTTCCCATTTTTATGAATAAAGGGGATGCACAAGAGTGAGCAAATTATAGAGGAATTAAGTTGATGTATCATACTTTAAAATTATGAGAGAGAGTAATTGAGCATAGGTTAAGACGTATTACAAAGATTTATAATAATCAATTTGGATTTATGTCGGGCAGGTCTACTATGGAAGTTATACATTAATTGGGAGGTTTGATGGAGAAGTTCAGAGGTAATAAGGAGGTTCTACATATGAGTTTTATTGATTTAGAAAAAAGCTTATGTAAGGCTCCAAGAGATACTCTTTAGAGAGTTCTTGAGAAGAAAGGTGTTGATATGACTTACATTCAAGTCATTAAACATATGTATGCTAGAGTTGTTACTTGTGTTTGAACAGAAAGAGGATTGACCAAATATTTTCTTATGTATGTTGGATTACATTAGGGATCGACTTTAAGCCCATATCTTTTTGCTTTTTTTTGCTTTAGTTATGGATCTTTAGTTATGGATGTTCTTAGTGGACATTTATAGGAGGATGTACCTTGTTGTATGCTTTTTGCTGATAATATTCTTCTCATGGATAAGACGAGAGAGAAAGTTTAGGAAAACCTTGAATTATGGATGTCTACATTTGAGTCTAAAGGTTTTCGTTTGAGTAGAACTAAAAGTGAATATATGGAATGTAATTTGGAATGTAATTTTAGTAGTAGTGACTCTAGTGACAAAATTGTAACTATGGGTGATCAAATTATTAAAAGGTGTGAATGTTTTATATATCCTGGGCCTATTGTTCAAAGTAATAGTGATATAGATGGGGATATTATTTAGTAGAATTCAAGTTGGTTGGTTGAAGTGAAGGAATGCTTACGGCCTATTATGTGATAGAAAAGTACCACTTAGATTGGAAGGAAAGTTTTATAAGATTTTGGTGAGACCTGCAATGCTCTATGATGCTAAATGTTGGCCTTTAAAAGAGAAGCATAAAACTAAGTTACTAAGTTAAGTGTTGCTGAGGTGTTGCTGAGATGAGAATGATTAAGGGGATGAGTGGCTTTACACTTAGAGACAAAATACAAAATGAATATATTCGTGATAGGTTTGGTGTAGCTTCCAGTAACAGACGAAATTAGATAGAGTCGTCTTAGATGATTTGGTCACATTAAACGTCAACCATCTGGTGATCCGATTAGGACATTAGATGTTTTAGATTCGATTTATGTTAAGAAAGAAAGAGGTAGACCTAGAAAGATTCGAGCATATTGTATAAAAAATGATCTTAATTTATTAGAATTAATTAAAAATATGACACTAAATAGGACACAATGGAGAAAAAAGATTCATGTAGCCGACCCCACTTAGTGGGATAAAGGTTTTGTTTTTGTTAATGTTGTATTGAGTCTACTATGATATGGAGGACTCAAAATAACATGTTCCGATGAATGTGCAGTTTTCTCACAATCGCTTGTAGGATTTTGTTCCCCAAGCTGTTTATTTCTCTTTCTGTAGTTACATTTCGGGCAAGTTAATTGGTTAAAATGTTTTCTAATTGTGTGGATGTCAATGTCATGAAATTGTAGGCAATTCTTATTCGAAAACCTATGGGATGGAGCATGAACAAAAATAGGAATCTTTGCTCTTCTGTTACGTGGGTGCCTAGCCTAAGGGCAAATTTGTCTTTTGTATGCCTAAGGGCAATTTAGTTTATTATTATTGTTATTATTATTATTGTTTGGTATAAATAGACTTATTATGTCTAGGGCTAGGGTTATGCATGAGATTGAGTTTTGAGTCTTAGGTCTAGGGCTTGAGAGAGATTTTCAACCTCTCGAATTGTAGGAATTGGGAGAGATTGCCCACCTCTTGAATTATAAGTGTTTATCTTTATATTCTTGTTGAGTTGTTTGATTTATTAAAGAAATATTATTTTTCCCTAATTTATTTGGAAAAACGTGTCGATTTTGAGGTCAGATCATATCAAATTGGTATTAGAAAAAGATCGAAAGCTATAGCTTCGATCCACGACGTGATAGGGAAAGCCTCAAAAGATTTCTGCAGAACAACGAATCTTGCTCACTCGGGAAGTTGATTGGGATACAGTTATAGTCGTAGTAATCTAAGTGATCGCGACGTTTAGAGTCGAAACAGTCACAGGAAGCATTACGTCGTACAAAATTGTGAAGGGAAGTAAGGGACGACACACTATAGTTGCGAGGACGCCTAATTTTTCTGTGCGGACTCCTGACGTAGCTCTACGTCCGGCGGAGGTTATTCCTGAGTTATTTTCAAGTTATTTCTAGGTTATTTTCAATAATCCATAAATAACCCGCGGTCTTTATTTTTGGGTTATTTTGGGTTATTGAAAATAACCCATAAATAAGCTGAAAATAACTCAAGAATAACCTCCGCCGGACGTAGAGCTACGTCAGGAGTCCGGACATAAAATGCGCTCCGCGAGGACAGCTCCTACGTGACCAACGCTTGTCATTTAGTCGCGATTGCAACGATCTGGGAAGGCAACAACAGACTTGCGACTTATAGAAGAAGGCAAGGATATACTCGCGGCTTACTGGTCGACGATCTTTGCGAATTGTCGCGTGGAAGGCAACGACGGAATGCGGCGTACAGAGACCTGAACTTCCAATTCTTCTCTTCCTCTTGCGATGTCTACGCAATTTCTTTGCGATCAGAGCTAGCTCGGAAGGCAGCGGCGTACAGAGACCCAAAGCTTTGGTTTTCTCCAGTTCTTGCAGCGTCCAAGTCTTACTTTAGGATCGCGACTACAGTGACTCGATTCGAGCTGTAGGGCTTATGCTGATTTGTGCTTTATTTCTGCGGACAAGATTTCTGCTACTAATTTCAACTTACAGATGTTATTTCATGTATGAAGCTACTGTATTTCCGTTTATTTGTACCGACGCTATTCAGATCGACGAAGGGCATACGCTCTCGTGATACAGAGCCACGAATTAATCGACGAAATTTTAGCGGCAAATGTTTTTGTGCTTTGTGATCAAAAATTTTTTTGTAAGTGATGACAACAAGAAAAGTTTATAATTTAGAGAAAAAGTTGGAGGAAGAGATCAAACAAATCAGATTTGGGATTGAAGAAATGTTCATCACGATAGAAGATAAGCTTTCTTTCGTAGAGAAACGATTGGAGGACCAATTTGAGAGCATGGGGAAAATTCAAGAAATGATAAAAGGCTCATTGAGATGCAATTCAAGACCCCGCCAGCGGTTCAATTACAAAACCTAAAGGAAATGGGATCAAACGAGAGGAACATGAGGAGGAAAGCATCCACCATCACATAGTCCCTATCAAGGCTCTGATTGAAGGTGAATTAGAGATTTCTGATGGAGGCAGTTGGGCTGAAACATGTGGAAGAGATTATGCAAGAAAATGTGGGGGAGCACAAAGAAGAAAGGAGAGAAGCATGGAGGAGATATGACTATGATTGAAGAACAGAGTTTTACCCTCAATACATGGGGGGAAACAACTGAGGAAGAGAAAGTTGGAGTGGAGATGCTATAGTTAGGAAGTTGAAGATGCTGATCTTTGAGGGAGAAAACGCACATTGTTGGGTGAATCTGGCGGAGTGATACTTCGCGGTGCATGGGCTAGATGGGGAGGAGAAACTCGTGGCGGCAGAGTTCTGTTTGGAAGGGAAAGCTCAAGTCTGGTTTTAGTGGAGGGAGGCTAGATATCCGATCTATTCGTGGGAGGAATTCAAGGATTGTTTCTGAGCAATTTGGGAAGTAGACCACGAACATTTCTATGCCTTGACTGAGGAAGGAACTGTCATGGAATACAGGGAGAGATTTGAGCTATTTTTGGGACAGATGAGGGGATTTTTGATTGGAGGGAAATTTCATGAAGGGCCTAAAGCTCAACATATGGGTATCACTCCGACTATAGAGACTACAAGGATTGAGGGAGACGATGGAGCTAGCTCATATGGTAGAGGACAAAAATCAGATTAAGAAGGCCAACAGGAGCAACACAGATGGAATGTCGTACTGAATTTTTATAACCACAACGATACCAAAAGCTCAAATAGTGGAAGTCCAAAGGGAGGCTGCATGGGATACAAATAATGGACCACGACTGGGAGCAACACTCAAGCTTTTTTACAGAGATAGAGATTCGGGTGGAGCCAAGGGGTTATGTTTTTGGTGTGATTAGAAGTTTATCCCACGACACCATTGCAAGGATCGAAAATTACAAGTTTAAATATTGCATGACAAGGAGGCAGAGAATGAAGAAATAGAGACAACTGTGTGGGGGGATGAAGCCTTACTTTTTCTCACCTTGAGGACTGTGTTTTGGGCGGGGGAGTCCTGTTACGTAGGCGCTTAGCCTGAGGAAAAAATTGTCTTTTGTATTCCTAAGGGCAATTTAGTCTTTTCTTATTATTATTGTTGAGTTGTGAGTCTTAGGTCTAGGGTTTGAGAGAGATTTCTTACTACCTCTTGAATTGTAGGAATTGGGAGAGATTGCCTACCTCTCGAATTGTAGGTATTTATTTTTGTATTCTTATTGAGTTATTCGATTTATTGAATAAATATCGTGTCTGCCCTAATTTATCCGGAAAAAGTGTGTTGATTTTGAGGTTGGATACTTCATCTTCCTTCTAAAAGTCCATCCATGCACTCGCTTTTGATATTGATTCGAGAAAATATGTTAGTTATGTTTCTTATTTTATGTTCCGATAAAATGAGCTTGTAGATCAAGTAAAACTTTGTTTGGAATTATGAATGACTTGCCAAAGTTCTCGACTTTTCTATATGAGCAAAGTGACATTTTAGAATGTCTGCATCTAATATTTAGCATCATGTTTTTGACTATCAATTTAGTCATATAGTTTAATTTGTAATTTTTATTTGATCATCAGTATAATCATGTTGTTATTTGTTAAGGTTAATAGTAGTTCTTTGTTATTGTGGATATGCTTGGCATTTTAGCATTGTTCTTAGGGTTAAATTGCTCATAAAATTGTTGTTACTTTTTAAGTAATCTGTGTTGGGTTGTAATTAGGATATTGATTAATGAATTAAGAAATTAAATTTTCACTAGTGTTCTTTCCTTTCATAGATTTGCTGATTGACAGACTTATAGGAGTCAAATCTGATTAAAATCGAGGTCAACAACGGTTCTCAAAGACGACTTCACATATAATTAACTCAGGATGCCTTGATTACAAATAAATTTGTCTAAACGACATCGACACAAGTAAGATGTCAAAGTAATGAACAAGGGGTAGAACATGATCATCTTGATTGAAAGCAGGGAAAAAAGACCAACTACAGAGATCATGTTGTGCGATCCAGGCATGAATTGCATTGATTGCCGTCGAAACCACTCAAACAACTTATGTTCATGAAACAAATTGTGCTGACTTGCCCTAAACATAAAATATGCCAAAATTGAATACCCATATTACCCAGGTTCAAATATGAAATGCAAAATTATTAATGCAAGCAACATGTATTCCGAGGCTTCTAAACGATGAATTTTTAAAGGAGAAACAAACGATAAATTATTAATTAAAGAGGAGGAATAAAAAAGATTTTTTAAGTTAAAAATAAAATTTTTAAAGGCTTGAATTGTATTTTGCTTATTTTCTCATTAAAAAAAATATAATAATAAATTTAAAATAATAATTATATTTTTTAAAAAATTAAAATAAAAACTTGCAAATCTTCTCTTACTTCCCTATCTCGATTCCCTCAATAAATAAAAAATAATTTTAAGATCTTGATCGGGTTCATTATCATTTCCCCTATCATTATTCTAATGCTCACTATGATAAATTTCTCAATCCAAATTTAATTTTGTGTTACTATAAGTTGAGCAATCATTGCTCTAACAAATAACCTTAATAAGAAGTTCTCGCTCGTTATTGAGATATTAACTGACCATATGGGCTTTCACCTATGAGAAATCTCAAATCAAATCTTACAATACTTGCAAAATGAGAATGAAAATTTGAGTTGTGACTTATTAGCAACATAATTTACTTTCTAAAAATTTGATCCAAAATTCGACAAAGACTCTCTTATCAAGAGATTTCGAGGCTTGAATTTTTGAAGCCCACGAAATTCTTTCCCATCTCATTACCGCATGAATTCTCTTGTTTTCTTTGTTGACCTTATTTTTTGGTCAAACTCAAAATTAACACTGCCTTTGAAATTCCTAAGTTTCTTCAGGAATGGCGTGCACACGACCATGTGCACACGAAGAACTGCTTGTGCAAGTATACACCCATGACGCTCCTCCTTGATCATCGTGGTCACTTCTGGTTCGGGTATAGACACGCATATAAGTTCCTGAGCGTGGTCATGCCTGGATTAGGTGTAGCCACGCCCAGTAGTTTTCGGTGGTGTTCGCGCTCGGTTTGGGCGTAGTCATGCTCGATGCTAGCATGGCCATGCTTAATACTGGCGTGGCAACTCCTCCAAGCCATGCCAGCGATTCGTGGCTTTCGTCCTCGAATACTTTGGCGAATCGATGCGTCGGTCCTCCGGTAACGATGTGTTGGAGCTCCAACTGCGGAATGATCTCGACCGTAGATCCACCACCCTAATTTATTGTCATGGAGGCCTCTGCCACTGCCTTTCTGGTCTATAAACATGCCTCTCAACACTGCCTTCGACATTCTTCGACAGACGGTCTTCAACCATCAGCGTAGAGAAGAGTACGCAGGAGTAAGAAGAGTCCGAGACTCTTCTCTGCCGCGGCCTGCCTCCTCTCTGCCCTGGATAAGGCTTGAATTTGCATCTGGCCCAGGTGTACCGGAACCCATCCTAACTCTAACCCAAACCGCAGTCGACCCAAACCTAGGTCCAACTCAAGCCAACTCAGGTCAGCTTTGGTCCAACCCAAGTTAACCCAGGTCCAATTTAAGTCCAATCTAAGTCTAACCCAGGTCAACCCAGACCCAACAGGTTTAGTCTAGGTCCAACTCAAGTCCAACCTAGGTCCACCCAAGTCCACCCAGGTTATGAAGTTGGTTATAGTTGAGGGATATTAACATGCCTGGGACGACAGAAAGCCATGGGCACTTGGCTGGGCACGTTATTCTCAAAGTTTAGGTTAGTCCACCAATTAGGATTCCTTATAGAGTTTAGGATTTTGCTTCCATCTAGACATCCTTCTTACTCGACTCTATTTCTTAGTTTAGGAGTTTCAACAACTTCAGGCAGTCAATCCAAGAATTCCTAAGTTATTCTTTTGACCTTATCTGATCAACTGAACTCAGGGTCATCCTTTTCAAGCTCTTCAATCATCATCCTTCGGGTAAAATTCCTTTTTTGGACAGTTAAATCCCTTTATCTGGGCCTTTTCCACCATCATCGAACAGTATTTCCTGTCATTGTGAGCTTAATTCTTCCAGTTTGGATCTTTCACCTCCAACACTTCATTAAGCGAGAGCTTTCTTTAGGGCTCACAGCTCCAGGGATGTATTAACTATGAGGGCTTGCTCTTGTAGGGAACAAAACCCTAAAATAAAATAAAATTTATCTTACAGTCATAAGATGAGGGAAAAAATCCTGGTTCCGTAGACTTACGAAGGTTTTCAACTTTCTAGCGTTTAGGCTTATTTGAAGGTATTATTTCCTTTCCTCGGGAGGCATGCTATTTTTCAAATGTCATGCTCGTTCATCTGGATAGAAGTTTTTTAAAATTTTTATGATGTGTGACAACACAAAAATCCCCCACCACCCTTCACATAACCACATGAATTCTCATGCTTCCCTTCTCACCATCTTTCTTTCTTATTCACATTTATTTTTCTAATCTTCAGAATATTCTTCTTTTGTTGCCTTTCTAGTTTCTTTTTCATGGATCCTCTTAAAAAGTTAGGTTGAAGTCCAATATCATCACTTCTGCCTTGTTTTACATTGCAGAGTTTGTTACCAAGCTTGTAAAGCCTCGAAAACCTATAATATGAATATTGTGTTTCGAGAGTTTGATGTTACTGGAGAATTTGGATGCTGAAATTTTTTCACATGTTTTCTTCAACATTTAATAGGACAACAATATGTTCATTGAGTGATAAAGTTGTATTGCTTTTGATTGGGACACGCTTAAGTTTAATTTTCTATTTTCAGGTTACATGTTTTTTGTCAAAAAAATTGTTAGGTGCTGGGTTTACTTCTATATACCCTTGGAAGATAGGCCAAGGATTGCCTGTCAAGAGAAGTTGATTTAGTGGATATTATTTAAGAATTGAATGTGTCAAGTCTGACTGGAGTGCTGGATTTGTTGCATGTTTGCTCGGACATTTTTTTTTTCACTATTTTGGACGGATGAAAAAAATGCATTTAAATTTAAATTTGTAATGAAATGATCCAGGAGTTATTTGAGGGCTGAAATAGTTGTTTACTTTTAACTTGTGATGGCTGATTATGACATCTCTAGAAATTTAAATTCACTGCGTCGTCTTTTTAATGTTCTTTTATTTAACCCATATCTGCTAAAAAAATCCGACCAATATCTGAAGTTGGGCTGCTTCAGTTTTAAGATTGGCGGTTGGTGGCTAATATTTTGGGAAACACGTTTCTTAATTCAAAATCCTTGGCTATTTTCATTACAACACACAAAATGCCCTGTTCTTCTTGTTGCTGCTTGCATAAGGTTAATATGCCTTGCAGACCGCATTTCAAATTTAGAATATGAATCAAACGAACATGGGAAACAGGGCACGATCTAAAGTTCTAGCAACACAAGATTGATTGAAATATTATCTTTTTTTTAATAACTTTGTTGCTGTTTATACTGTTTTTAGTTTTGTTTGCTTAAAGTACGTGGGCTCATTAAAGATTGAAAAGGAAGCTAAAAATTGTAGCGAAGCTTTCACATGATGAGTTCCTTTTTATTTTATTTATTTTTTGATAATGCATGTGTGGTAGATATATATGGTTAATTTTAGTTGTCCATGAGACTTGAATTATTTTTGTGGCAGGTACTTTCTGTTACTTTTGTAAAAGCAGGTGCAACATATGATACAACGCCATCCCTTGTTGAATTTGGAGGAACATTGAGAAGTATTACTACAGAAGGTCTATATAAACTCCAAACAAGAGTAGAAGAGGTTAGATTTTTATATATTTTTACTAGATCGTTCATGTTAATGACTGTTAAAATAAAAAAAATAAAAAAAAACCTAATGGATGGGTTGGATGATTGTGTCGCTTTAACCAACTCTCTAAATAGTTCTATATTAAGAACTAATGTCCCATTTGAAAATAACACGAATGAGTGAGAGAGGAAGAGGGGTGAGGACTAGAGCGTAAGAAGAAACAAAAGGAGAAATAGAAGAAGAAAAGGAAAAGTGGCAAAACCCTAGCCAAATTTCACGCAAAAGACGAAGCTAAGGAAAATATTGGCGTGTTTCTTTTACCCCAGAGTCAACCCGGTGCCCTAATCGTGTTAGAGAAGAGAGGAGGCAATAGCTTCGTGCATGAAGATAGAACCGAGCTCTAAACTTTGACATCAAGTGTGAAGCATGGAAAATGGGAGGTCGAGTAGTTGCGGTTTCAATAATTTCACATGCGAGGAGCGAAGTTGAGGAAGGATGAGAGAAGTAGCTTTTGCGAGGAGAAGAGGAACTTACCAAGCTTTGCGTGAAGAGGAGGAAGAAGGCGCAACACTCGCCGTGCAGGTGCTAGTCGAGCCACGCTTGAGGGAAGACAGAGGGAGGAGACGGTTTGTGAATGAGAGTTAGAGGCTAAGCTTCAGTGTGAAATTAAAGAAGTACCTGAAGAAAGGAGACAATTATTGAGGAGTGGATCACCTTGAAAGATAAAAAATTAAGATTGAAGAATATTTGAACCTATAAGATCCAAAGATATGAAGTCACTGAGACGAGTAACCAAAATTGAGATAAGTAATTATATTTCTAAATTTCATTAATTTTCATTATTTCTAAATGTTGTTTGATTTCATTCATGCTTTATTATGGTGAGATTTAGATTATAGTTGATTCTTAATATTATTAGATAAAAAAAATATGGATATTACATAGTTGCACGATGGAATTAAATCGCATATGATTTTTTATACGTTTAGATTGTAGTAGATTCATGACTTATGCATGTTCAATGTTGTTGTCTTAATAGTTGTATAATAGTTTAGTTTATGAAGATATCAAATTATTATCTAATATATTAGCTCATTGCATGACTAGATATTTGTCATATTATTACTTGACCTTTAGAATTATAATAAATATGCATTTATTAGATTCTCCTGTTACCTTAAATTTTTAATAGAGTTGCATTATTCTAGTAAATTAATATAAGACTCACATGATAATAATGTATGCCTTGAAGGATAAAATAAAAATATTGTATATATGAATGATTCTATGTGCATGAAAGGGGGAGTTCACCCCCTTATGGTACAGGTAAAGAACGCCATTATATCCGTGCGCGTGGATGTTTTCTTCCCACCCGAGATAATTGTGATGTTAAATTGTTAACTGTTGTGCTCTTGAGAGAATATTGGTCAGGGCAAGTAGACACTTTTCACCTCAGATAATCATATAAATTAGTTTACGAACCATTGTGCCTACGAGATAATATCGGCTAGGAGTGTTTTAGGTTATGCTTTTGATGATGTTTTTAAGATAGATGTGAATGTTAATTAGTATAAAGTAAAAGTAAAGTTAAGATTAATTCTTGAAGAGTACAGTTGAAGTAAATGCATATAGAAGTTTTAGATTATTCTAATTGAGTAATATCATGGACACCTACATTCGATTATTATAAGATCACATATAGTAATATATGGAAGACCAACATGCATATTATTTTATTTTTCTTGGGTTATTGTTTTTTCGAAGTATGATTGCTCTTGTGTTATCTTCAAATAATTCATTATGTTTAACATTTTTTTCAGATTTTAAATTTTTAAATAAGATAAATAAGACGAGCTAATATGTACAGGAGGAGAGAACAACCGAAAAGTTAAAAATTTAATTTATTAATTAAATTACTTTTCTTAACGACTCTTTCATGAACATTTGAGTATTACACTGTTAGTAATAAAAAAAGAAAAATAGAGAATTTATTTTCACATTCTGGTTGTCCATTCCCGTCTTGGTTAATTTCAAGTCTTGTTTCGGGTTGTGACATCATGAATATTCGAATAAGCAAGCAAATAATCTATGGGTCACATCTGATTTTTATAAAATAATGCCACGATTGTTGTTGCTGGACTTATTCCAACTTTGAGCAACATTGTTTCATCATTCTCTATCCGGTCCTATGGGATGTTGCATGTGGCATTAAGCCTATTTTGCATTAGAACTCAGCTTGCATTCATGCTACCTTTGTCTATCTATTTTTTTAATTCTAACATTGTTTTTTATTAACCCGTACTATATGCATTTTACATCCTTTGGTGTGCATATCCAATTCACCAAAGTCCATTTCTTTGATAGATATTACTGTTATCATCCTTTAATTTAAGCATGGGATTTGCATACATACCACACAAATCTCATGTATTTACATATTTAACACCTAAATTTTAATGTTTTACTTCAAAATATTTGCAGTAGTGGTATTTATTTATAGTGATTTAAAGATTTAGGTGTAATATAAGTAAGGGATATTTACGTACATACCACATAATTCTTATATTTGCAGCTCTAACTCCTAAAATTTTATATTTACATTCTTATTATTCAAATCTTTAACATTACATAAAAAATATCGCTATCACTAACTTTTTAATTGTCAAATACTCTTTTTAATGTATAGGGTTATAACATTAAATTGGTATAAATGTAATTTTAAAATGTTAGGTGTTATATATGCAAATAAATCAGAATTGTATGGTATGAATTCTAGATGCTTAAATTCATAAGAATATTGTATCATGTATGTAAGTTCCCTCAATATAATTTCCAATCTATCCTTCCTAGTGTAATATTTAAAGAATCATGATCATATTCTTCAGTTGTGTTGTGTTGCATTTTGCTTTGCTATTTAAATCATCTGTTTACACGGTAATATTATGTTGAAATTGTTTCCTAATGTGTCGTGAGAAATTTTTTTATTGTGCTATGTTGCACTACGGATTAATATTATTTTAAAAAATAAAAAGATGTATGAGGAGTGGAGGAAAAGTATTTTGATCCTTATTTTTAAGAATAAAGGGATGCACAAGGGTGTGTAAATTACAGAGGAATTAAGTTGATGTGTCATACTTTAAAATTATCGGAGAGGGTAATTGAACATAGGTTAAGACGTATTACAAAGATTTCTCATAATCAATTTAGATTTATGTTGGGCAGGTCTATTATGGAAGCTATACATTTATTGAGATTGATGGAGAAGTTCAGAGATAATAAGGAGGATCTACATATGATTTTTATTGATTTAGAAAAAGCTTACGATAAGAGATTTTCTTTGGAGAGTTCTTGAGAAGAAAGGTATTGATATGACTTATATTCAAGTCATTAAAGATATGTATACAAGAATTGTTACTTGTATTGGAACAGAATGAGGATTGACCAATTATTTTTCTGTTTCTGTTGGTTTACATCAGGGATCGGCTTTATGCCATATCTTTTTGCTTTAGTTATGGATGGTCTTATTGGACACTTACAGGAGGATGTACCTTGATATATGTTTTTTGCTGATGATATCCTTCTCGTGGATAAGATGAGACAAAAAGCTCAGGAAGAACTTGAATTATGGAGGTCTACCTTGGAGTCTAAATGTCTTCGTTTGAGTAGAACTAAAACTGAATACATGGAATGTATTTTTAGTAGTAGTAGCTCTAGTGACAAAAATATAACTATGGGTGATCAAATTATTAGAAGGCGTGAACGCGTTAGATATCTTGGGTTTATTGTTCGAAGTGATGGTGGTATTGATTGAGATGTTATTAGGAGAATTCAAGTTGGTTGGTTGAAGTGGCAGAGTGCTTCAGGCCTATTGTGTGATAGAAAAGTACCATTTAGACTGAAAAGAAAATTTTATAAGATGGTGGTGAGACCTGCAATGTTCTATGACATTAAATGTTGGCCTTTAAAGAAGAAGCATAAAATTAAGTTAAGTGTTGCCGAAATGAGAATGATTAGGTGGATGAGTGACTTTACACTTAGAGGCAAAATGTGAAATGAATATATTTGTGGTAGAGTTGGTGTAGCTCTAGTGACAGACAAAATTAGAGTGAGTCGTCTTAGATGGTTGTGTCACATTAAACTTCGACCATTTGATGATCCGACTAGAAGAGTAGATGTTTTAGATTTAGCTTATTTTATGAAAGTTAGTGGTAGAGCTAGGAAGACTTGGGCATATTATATAAAAAATGTTGGGCATATTAATATAAAAAATGATCTTAATTTATCAGAATTAAATGAAAATATGACACTAAATAGGACACAATGGAGAAAAAAAGTTTTTATAGCCGACCCCACTTAGTTGGATAAAGGTTTTATTGTTCTTGTTATGTTGTACTAGTAATAAAGTAGATGACTATTTTAGACCAACACCTATGAAACTTTCCTCCACATCGAGCTCACCAAATAATTTGAAAATTTATTTTAGTCAAAAGGCTAAAAGAGCAATTTAGTCATTTTTTAATTATTATTTTTGTTATAAATAGGGTTTAATATTATTAGGGTTAGGGTATGTGATTGTTGTTCAGAATTTTATGATTAAGTGTTTTGGTTTGACTCGCCTACTTCTAGAATTGTAGGCCTATCTTTTATTTTTATGGTATTGTATTATTTTGTTTTCGTACAAGTTGAATAGAATATATTATTTCTGCCATAATTTCCATGGAAGCTCGTCTCATTTCTGTCAAAATGGTATTAGAGCCATACCTGGTAGTAATGGCGACCAAAAAGTTTGATGTCTTGGGAGGAGAGATTAGAGGGAGAGGTGAGCTAAATCAGATTGGGAATGAATGTGTGTTTCTCGTCCATGAAGGGGTGGTTCTCGTCCATGAATTTTTAGGGTATTTTTAGTTAAAATTTTATAATAAATTCAAATGTCCTCTAAAATTTTTGAAATTTACAAAGATGTTTGGAATGAGATTCTAGACAACCTCTAAAAAATCAAGTCATTTTAAATT